CACACACACCAGTGGTTCTTAACCTGGGTTCGATTGAACCCCAGGGGTTCGACAGAGCCTCCGCATGGAGGTTAAGATACACCCGACTCAACATGTCAATTAGCTATGACGCGCCTGCTTGGGCATCACTGGCTGCAGACTACATTACATTGTTTGTCCAATCAGTGCTGCAGAAAATTCAGTTCGCTCAGTCGTCAACGTGGGACAGTAGTGATTGTACCTCGTGTGATTTTTTTTTAAATTTTATTTATTTTTTTAGAAAGTTTTAATACACGCTATGTCGAGCAAAAAATAAAAAAGTGGTCAGACGAATATGTACAACATGCATCACACAACGGGATGGGACTCAGCGTCCTATCTGCATGATTTGTCAAGCCAAGTTGAGCATCTCTCGTCTCACACCGGCAAAACTGAAGGAACTCTTCTTGAATCCGATTTTAAAATTTCAGTCACGGTTCGGTCAATGTGCATATGAACTGGTTGGGTTTGGTACCTCTCACAAGGTTAAGAACCACTTTTTTATATATATAATATATATATATATATATATATATATATATATAAAATATGCATTTGTCAAAGTAGACTGTTACTTTTATTTTCTTTTGTTGCCCCACTTAAATTGAAATAATTCATAATTCCGGGATGGTGTCTTTAACATGTTCGTTGTGACTTGGGGAAAGTTTTCTCTGAAGCACATGGGGCAAATATGGCTTTGTCGAGTGCAGGATTTCCATGCAAGCAATTGGAAGAGGCTTGCTGAATTTATTTTCATTCTAAGCTTGAGCTTTTTTGAGTTTCTTTGACTTTTTTTTTTAACTACAAATTATTCAAATTATTATTGATATCAAGTGTGGTTGCACTTTGAGCTTGTATGGTATTACCTGGAATAGATTTATAAACTCCAAGCTGAAAAGGGACATGTAGCGCTTAAGGGCGTGTCATACACCTACTATAAACAACACTGTCAGTTGTCAAAACTGTTTGTGGTAATGTTGGGTATCTAAAGCTGTAAGCTCTTCTCCACCCCTTTTAGGCCATGGAGCTGCTCGTGGAAAAGGCCATCAGTAGCGCCTCTGTACCGCTTAGCCCAGGCGATGCATTGAGGCGCGTCTTTGAATGTATTTCATCTGGGATTTTACTTTCTGGTGAGATTTCATGATTTTATTTCTTTAGATATATATTTCTTCAATGGGATAATTCTCGATGCTTATTTGGCATCTCCCAATATTTATTAGATTTTTTTTTTTTTTTTGTCTTGTCTACCTGTGGCATAGTTTAAAGCAGGATTTGCACTCTGGTCCATGCAGATTTTTTGTTTGTGTTTTTTTTTTTTTTTCCAGCTTGTCCTAACTGTTAGTTGTGTCAGCAAAATGTTTCCATTTCTATCACAGTGCCTCTTATTTCTTAACGGGTTGCGGACAACCTCAAAAGCTTGGAGGCACCGTCCACGACAGATAGCTGTGTGGTTGGTGGCAAACGCACCGCCAACTGAAGTGGGCTCTGTTACCGTCACTTGTGAAACACTTGTTCTAAAAAAATCGAAAATGTTACATTGTGTAACATCAGCCAGCAACTGCCTAAAAGCTGTGTTTTCTTTTATTTAGCTCATCCCAATTGTGTAGCTTGAAAGGTGCGATCCATAAGGGCATGCTGTATCATGCAGAGTGAACCAAATGGTACTGACCCAAAAATACACAATAATAATATCACAGGTTACTGATACTGACCCCCACTCCATTACTTAAATGAACAGAATAAAACATACGGATGAAATCGTCCAACATCTTTTATTTAACAACACCCAGCATCAAAGAACTAAATAGTGCAGCAGAAATGGTTTCTATACTGTGAGTAATTATGTAATTTAAAAAAAAAAAAAAAATTGCTTTTGTTCTAGCTTTGGTTTGATCTGGAGAGGCTTTTCAAATGCTGCCGGAAGTTGCTTTTGCAGTAATTGATTCCTTGAAGTCATTTAACGTGTGAAATAATCATCAAATAAATGGGTTCGCTTACTTCCAGCTTTTAACTTCCATCCGGCATGTTAGTACATTCACATTGATAAAGACGCATGACGTATGATGTGTTTGTTTCAGCAGGTGGGCCCGGACTGATGGATCCCTGTGAAAAGAGTACTGTCGACACCCTGACAGCTATTGGAGAGCAGGAGAGAGAGGACATAACACTAAGTGCCCAAGTACAAGCTCTTAATTATTCTTCTGGATATTTTTTGACGTTTTGACAAAATGGCACATGTGTAAAACGCTTGAAATTAGGGCTAAGCGATGAATCCACTTCAAACCAACAATGTAGTACATACTGAAATTCCAATGAAGGTGGGATTGCTTGTAAAGCATAACTAAAAACCGAAAAATCATTTGCAATGATCACCCCCCCCACACACACACACACACACACACACACACACACAAAGACAAGATATTGTAATGTTATTGAGTTTATATCGAATATTCTCATTTTTAATTTGATGGGGAAAGGTGTACCACTTTGGGGGGGACGGGGGCTGACGGCCACATCAGAAAAGCATTGTCACTTAACGTGGTTCACCGCTACATCTACAAATGAAAAAGTTAAAACTTTACCACCGCAAAGCAAACGCTGTCTCTGAGCAACACTCAGAAATACCACCAGCTTCTCTGAGCCCGACCTCATCTGAGATGGATTGACGCAAAAAAAAAAGGAAAAGTGTGCTGTGGTCTGACTAGGCGACGGAATCATGGACGTCATGTCCTCCGGAAAGTAGTCAGAGTACGAGACTGGCCTGCCAGAACTTCAGACCTATTTCCCATTGAAAATGGGTGGCGCATTATGGAGTGCAAAATATGACAATAAAGATTCTGGACTGTTAACCACCCGAAGCTGTGCAGCAAGCTAAAACGCAAAAGAATCCCAGCGACAAACCTTAGTTCATTTTAATGCCCCCAGTTTCCAAACGCTTAGTAAGTGTTGCTAAAAGGAAAGGTGATGCGCTGTAAACTTGCCCTGTCCCCGCTTTTTTGGGGGTGAACGTGTTGTACGTATCAAATTCAAAACACAATCCAAAAATGTTTGCTTTTCATTGGTTCATTTACAGTAAATTTGAATTTCCTACATTTGCGAGGTTCTTGGCACTCCACAGACTTCAATTATCTTCTGACTGCTCTTCAGTGGCTTTTTAACTGCATCTCCCTTTATTATGATGCATTTACCTTTTTAGATGTATTTATACCAGAACAAACTACATTGCCTCCCTTGAGGCATACCCATTTGTCCCATTATTATACTTGGCTCTATTTTACATTGGCATTGTTTTTCTTCCTTTCGAAAAGGCCCTCGGCAATTTAAATGCTTTTAATGTAGGGGCGGGACTTTGTTTTTCCTGATTCATGCATGAACACCTATGACCAGCTCGCCAATGTGGAGTGACTGCCAAGTCATTTTCCTTTAAGCGCAACTGTTGAAACTGCTCTCAGAATAACATCAAACGGACAGGAGAGACGGCATGCTCAACCAAACTCAAATGTGAATTTAACTTCAAGATGAATTCAACTGAAGTCCTAAATGTCGGTGTATTTGTCTTCTTGTCTCTGTCTCTACAGTTTGCACTGAGGCTGTTGGCATTCCGTCATATTCATAAAGTTTTGGGCATGGACCCTCTTCCGCAGACCAACCCTCGTTTCGCTGTCAACAACAGCAGCCGCAAGCGTCGCCACGAGAACAGCGACGGGGCAGATAGCTTTGAGGGCGAAGGCAAAAAGGATAAGAAGGATTACGAGAGTTTGTAAGCGTCAGTCGAAACCGGCGAGAAGACAAAAGCCGTACTCACCGGTTTAGATTGGAGTCCACCATCACCTGTGCGTCATGGCTTCGCTCCAACATCAAGCTTTCTTTCTTTCTGTAGTTTTTGTTATTAAGCTATAGATGCGTCAGTGTATTTGCAGCCTCACTTGTAATAGAGAAACAAAACAGTGTTTGTGTATTGGTTTTAGTTGTAGCTTTCTTAATGGTTGGGTTCAACCTGTTTTTTTTTTTTTTTTTTTTTGGGTTAAGCCCGACGTGAAAGCAAGCTGGCTGTGTCAAAAGCGATAGATCTCATTGAGGTTGCCTTTTGTTTTTCCTGCCATGGTTTGCTTTCTCTTGAGTATCTCATTCCCAAACACAGTCCAAAAAGTCCCTCAAAATCCCCCCGTGAGTCAAAATATTGCAAGGTATGGAGGCTCTGACCCCACTTCAGAGCAGCCCGTGTAAGAATCACAAAAATGTTTTCTCAGCTCATCTTCCAGCCGATTGTGTCACTGTTGAACTCATCGTGCAAAGACGGATTTTGAGAAGGGTTGAGGTTCTTAAAGCCTGATGTCACCAAATTGTGCTGAATTCAACCCGAATGGTTTCTGATTGTGTTTCCAAGGCATGTAAACACTTGTCAGGGTCCTTTCCGTGTCCACGTTTCGTCATGCTCATTGCTCATATTTTCCATGTTGGTGTTGCAAGCGCGCGGCCATCAGAAGTGTTTACGGGGTGTCTAAAGCCCCGGACTGCTGTCTAAAGTACACTTTGAGGGTGCCTCATACCAGGCTCATGTTGGTCCTGAGACATTCTCTCTCTACGGGACACCGGCTTCGTCTCGCAACGGTCCTGGTCAGGCCCGCGCGGCCAAATGGCGTCCATGTGCTCTGGCTTCTCTCTCCACGGGCCATAGACACCCAGCAGACAGGATACACGACTTTCTTTTCTGCTATTCCCCCCCAAGTCCTCATTTTTGTCTCTGTGGTCTGCCTGTAATTTAAGTGCCTCGTATCTGTGCCAGGGCGCCAGCGGCTTTCTCTGTCACTTAGTGTTGGACGCTAGAGTAAAGCCCGCCGGCAAGCCATGAATCCCCCCGCACTCCTCTCATTCCATCTCTGTCAGGGCTCATTAAAGCGTCGGAGGTGACATGGGCAGGAAGGCCCGCCAAACATATTGCATGTGTGGGCAAGTGGCGTGAGCCTGAATTTAACTAGCCTTTGTTATATAAGTGTTATTGATAACAGATGATCGGTTTGACATTGGCATCCGCTTCAAAGCGGGGGTGCATGTATGCCATGTATGACAAATATGCCCGGCGCTGCTTTGTGACTGGTCTTTTAGCAAGCCGCCTCTTCCCTTTCAGTGGTAAAATGATTAGCTGCCATTTTTTCCCTCTAAAATGATTATGAAATGCTGTCTGATGACAAGAAATCCCTTTCCAAAAGTGTCAAACTGTCAGTCTTCATCACCATCTAAAAGGCAGAGCTCATTCATGAAAAACGGTGATTTCCTGGCTTGAATATCAAGTTAGCGTTAAAGAATCCGCTATTGATGACATTTTAATTCCACACGGTATACACAGTACACTCTCTGTCTACAACATTAGATACACCGAGCCTTCAAATGTTGTGAAGCAAAACTCGGTTTGACATTTTTACAGCGAGGCTGTGTTTTAACAACTGATTCTCATGAGGACACCGCAATTTTCATGGAAACTCACATTTCTTTCTTAATGGTTGGGTTCCACCTTTTTTTTTTTTTTTTTTTTTTTTATCTTTAAAAAGTTAAATTATTGCATTTTGTGATATTGTCAAGTGTCGGTGACATTGGCTTTCTTAACAATCCGCTGTTAATTTCCTCGCTTGCTTTTGATGTGGTGGAGAAATAATATGGTTTACTCGATTGTGGAGCAGGAGGCAAGCAGTCATCAACGTCAATGCCTTCAATCATCATTATCGTTTTGTTCCAAGCTGTGTTGTTTGCTACTGCGACGTATTAATCTGGCCACGTAACGCATCTAAAATAGGGAATTGCTTGTATAATCTCAAATGTATGAAAGAAGGCTTTTATAAGTGGAAAGCATGGTTCTAATCTTAATGCATCCTATGTTGGAATTGGAATTGTTTTCCTTGAGGAAGTTGGTCTTGCTGCCCTTTTGTCTTGGCTAGGTGCTACATTCAATGCTGGAAGTAACACAACCCCTGCTTGGACAAGGAAGGATGCTCATATCCTATACATCTGTTTGACATGTTATAAACACTTGTTGACATGCTTCCTGCCGTGCAATTCCAGTAGCAAAATAAAGTCATTTCCAGATCAAAGAGCTGTTTTTTTTTTTTTTTGCACTGTCTCGTAAAATATGATGAAGATGCTCAGCCAATTATTTAATCTAACCATTTTATGTGGAATTGCAGGGTACAACCATATGTATGGACTCAGGGTGGATATCAAAAGTGTATGAAAGACGCTGAAACCCAACGATCCCCCGGCCCCTGTCTCCCCTGGCAAGTTACTGTTGCCTACAGTGCTGTGAAAAAGTATTTGCCCTTCCTGAGTTCATCAAAACCAATTTTTTTTTTCAAACCTCAAAATGGCATCCATGGGAGTGTTCCCAGGTGAAATCCCCCGCTGTCAACAAAGAATACAAAGCCTTGTCTCACATTTACCAAAATACATCTTGATCAGGGGTCCCCAACCGCCGGTCCGCGGACCGGTACCGGTCCGCAGGGCATTTGGTACCAGGCCACACAGAAAGAACTTGCCTTAATTCCGTTTTATTTATTTCGGAATACGAAAGATGTTTTATTTTGAAAAATTACCGGATTCTCCGTTACATCCGTCTGTGTCACGCTTGACACACGTCAAGCCACGCTTCTCCGTCACGTGACCGATTACGCTAAAAACAAAACGCCAGAGCTCGCAAAATGAGTAATAAAACTGCTGGAGAGCGCAAATGACGGCGGCCTTCAAAGTACGTTCGAGACAACTGGATGAAAGTTATGGCTGAATATTCTGAGATCGCCACAATAGCACTGTTGCTATTTCCGACATGCTACCTGTGTGAGGCGGGGGTTTTCTGCAGCAACAACGACTAAAACAAAATTACGAAGTAGACTGGACATAAACCACACACTTGAGGTGTCATTGTCTCTCCTATTACCCCGAGATGGGACCGTCTGGTTGCAGAAAATCAAGCTCGGGGCTGTGGTGAGTCATCATTTTCATGCACTTTGAATTTGCGTTGCATCGTATTTTGAAGGCATTAAACATTTGTTCAAGTTTCAAATAGTGTGTACATTCAATACACTTCATCTTCAGCATGTTTAGTGCCACTTTGTAAGTAACCACGCCCCCGTCCCGGCCACGCCCCCTTCCAGGCCACGCCCCCATCCAGGCCACGCTCCTTTCCGCTTTTTTCATCACGCGGCCATTGCCATCACTGGATGAGTCAAATAATGAACTTTTTGACGCACGTGCAGCCCGTTACATTTGGGGTAAAAAGGGCACAGCATTTGATAAAAAAGAACATCATGCCAACAGTGTACCATGGTGGTGGCAGTGTGATGGTCTGTGGCTACTTTTCTACCTCAGGATCAGGACATGTTATTGTGATTGATGGGACATTGAATTCTAAGTCCGACAATGAGTTTGCACCCTCACAATGGAGCACTCTCGGATCATGCAGCAGTACAACGATGCGAAACATACCTCGGAATAGCTAAAACAAAACAAAAAACAAAATTTCAGGTTTTGAAGTGAAATGAATTGCTTTGAGATGCTGTGGTGTGACCTGAAACGGACAGTTCAAGCAAAAAAAAAAAAAAAAACCTCCAATTTGGCAGGGTTGAAACAATTCTGCAAAGAAGAGTGGGGCAGAATTCCTTGACAGTGATGTGAAAGAAATGATTCTCAAATGGTGTGTCGGCAATGCATTATGGGTGTCTATCAATGTTTTTTACGAGACATTTTATTTGTCACCTGTCTTGACTTACAAAAGTAAGTCACGAGTTAAAGACAATAGGAAAATATAGAACTGCTGGTCTGGTGTCCTGTAAAAGTAATATAGTATTACAACATCTCACATGATATTTTCATCTTTTTTTTTTTTTTAATCAGTGGTGTTGACAGTGAAATCTGGATATTTCAGGAGACTTATTTTAACATGCAATATAAGATTTAGTGGAGAGCTGTGGTGGTGCATTATCCTCTCACACCGATATGGTTTTACAATAGCTAAATGATTTTTTTTTTTAAATCAGGCTTGATGACAACGCATTTCAGGGAACTTGGACATGCAGCATCAGATTCGGATGGGACCTCTTTTGATGAAGACCTCCAGTGGCCTGCCTAATACCTGTAGTGTCCTCCAGGACTGGTCTGGTGTTGTGATACCAATTGTTTTATTTGAATATATTGTTCTAAAGAAGAGATACTTGCAGTAATATATGTAATATTTGAAACTATGTTTTTAATGCATCTCAAGATTCAAAGTAACCATTTTCTCAGAAGTGGACTGTTTGTGTTATCACAGAAAGCTCATTTAATTATTTCTAAATCAAAGCAGTGACGTCGAGGTCAGCCTATCAGGATGCTTTTATACTTCAAGGTGGCTTCCGCCGCTCGTCGGCGAATTATTACCGTAATGCCTAGTGTGAAAGAAATTAGGGGAGTCTCACTGGACTCGTCAACAGAGAGGCCATATCGGCTGCGCGGTCACGATGCTTTGGAGGGGAAGATGTACCCTCATCCTGCAGTTGGAAGTATTTGCTTGTCATGATTCGTTTATTATTGGTTGTCTTTTGTTTTCAGAAGCTCGCATTTTTTGCATCTGCACCATACAACAGACTTTGTATTGTATTTTGTGGTTGTCTTTCTGCCCTCCTGGGTTGACCATTTCAAAATAAGGGTCAATGTTCACACCGACCTGCATGTATTGTAAAACAGCAAATGGTTAATTCAAAGAGACACTCGGATAAACGGAGCAAATAAGGTAATACATCATTTATGGAAACAATGTCATTGCGTTTCAGCAGGTTGCGAATATATTTTAAAGAGTTTGATGCTGTCGCCATGCGTTAGAATAGCGACCGGAAGTTAGCAAACCTCCGTAGCGCAAATGCGGAAGTGGTGTGTGCATATGGTCCATACTTGACATCCCAATGACTTGTTAATAATTGGCGGGCCATGCATTTCAACCTTAGGCCTTCAGTGACGTCACATACATGAACGAAATACTGTACAGGCTCGTCAAGCAGCACTTAATTTCAGCAGCGTTTAAAACCATCAAGTATGCATTCACAATTAAGAGCAGGAAACTAAATTTACAGACAGTCAAAAATAAAAAGATGATTTAAAAATACAAAATAAAATGCCAACCAAATTACGCTGTGTGATCTTAATTAAACAAGTCTGTCCAATAAATTGCGCAATGTCGCAGTTTCATATAAGACACCAACCAAACAATAACAAAATAAACTATTCTTTGAAAATAAACAGATCGTTTGCATTTTGAAAATCGGCGATACAACAGCAAATAACTGAAAATTTTGAGCAGCTGAGATTGAACGAACTTTCGTGCAAGAAGGTGACTACAATGCGCCATTTTAAATTGCAGGTGAGCAGATTTATTTGATACATTTTTGTATCTTTGTCATTTTATTTCGTTACCATGAATCTAATACTAACGAAATAAAATGACAAGAAGAAATGTAAAATAAAATTCATTTACTCACCAATGTCGTGCCTGTTCACTGAGGTGCAGATCTACGCGAGTGTCCCCAAACGTTTTTCAACGCACCATAGCTTGTAAGTGCCCAGCCATTTCCTTGCTGCCTGAGTAAAACAATCCAGTGTGGCTCCAAACACCAAATCGGTCAGTTGCAAGCAATAGGCATTCCCAGCAGTACGAGTTGCAGCATTTCACAGAGGCTGTGAGCCACGGGTAGCGTTCATAATTGCTCGTCTGAAAATGACGGACAAACCCTTTTCCTTGCTGGGACAGGTTAGCTAGAGCAGGAGTTGGGCGACCTCTTCGCACAACATCCAGCTTTTGGTGGAAGGTCCGTCTTGAAAATTGTGTGGAAAGTAGTTCC